GCAGGTCGCAGCAAGATGTTGTCCCTGACCCAGCTCAGTGGCAAGAATTTCCAGAGATATTCTGTGGATGAGAGAGCCCTGGAGAACTGCGATGTGCTGGGAATAATTACCTCCATTCAGAAACATGCCTCTGGAGCCCCTTAGAAGCAAGCGGGCTCATAAAAGCTGGCAGGTTTGGCAGAGAACAATGCTTGCAGACTCCCAGAACCAGGCCCAAAATGGAGAATGGAATAGCAAGAAAATGGAAAAACTGTAACTGAAGAGGAACTGCAGATTTGGGATAATCTGGGGAAGGATGTGAATTGACGGCTTTAGGTTTTTGAGGAGAGCTGGGTAAGGATTGAATTGGTTGGCTTTGCCCTTTGTGACATTTTGGTAAATCCTGGCGATTCTTCCTAAATTTGGAGAGACGGATCATAAAGGAATATGGGTGGATAGTTTGCAGATTTGCATCCTGGCCCCCAAATCTTTTCAGGGTCTGGCAGTGTCCAGTTGAATCCACAGCTGCTTTCCTTTGCCATTCCCAGGATACCAGTCGATTGCCCCTCCAGCAAAGCATTTGTAGCCATTCAAGGAACCTCAAGCACCCAACGGTACCACAATAATCAAGGGATTCGCCTTGTAATATTGGTGTGCGTGCATTTTTGCAGGGTCTGAGGCCCTGGGAAAGGAGAGGACTGCTGGCACCAGCTTGGACCCTTCATTCCCATCTTTCCTTCTTTATACGTGTCTTTGTCGGCCTCCTGTAACTGCTGAGGCTTTCCTAAGCCGCTTACAATACATAAAGCATTTTAACAAAGTAGAACGCATTAAAACCAATTAAAACGCAACAAATTAAAACATCTATGGAAGCAATATAAAAAGGGGCTGCAGTATTCAGGCTAAGAGTTTAAAAGAATTTCTAAAAGGGCGTGTCTTTGCCTGGTGCCGAAAGGAAAATAAAGATGGTGCCAGGTGAATTTCCCACGGGAGGGAGTTCCAAAGATGGGGGGAAGCAGCAGAAAAGGCCCTTCACCTGGATGCCACCCCTCTCATCTCTGTTCTTGTAGAAGGGTCCTCTGAGCTGATCTAAGGGGGTGGGTAGGTATGTATGGGTGCAGATGGTCTTTTAGATAGCCAGGCCCCATGGCCTTGAGGGCTTTAGCAAGCTGTGTAGGGCCATTTGTCCAGCTAGCCAGTATGGTCTGGTCCAGAGATGCCCGTGACCCCCAGAGGTCACCCCTGTGCTTTGCCGTCCCCCTCACATGCAAACACAAACCCGATTCCACTGTCCACACCTGTCCGACTGGACCTTCCTTTCCTCTGGGAGCCCAGCAGGGTCTCCTTGTCCTCCACCGAGCTCCTCGGTTTCTCTCTGAAGGCTCAGATTATTGAAGGGGAGCCACTGAGTGCGGAAAGGGGGGATTCCTTGCCCGTCTAGCTGGCTGCGTCTTCTGACTCCTCCCCAGGAGAGGTTGCCCAGTGGGGAACGACAGAGCTGCTCTGCACACGGAGGGGCAGACTTAATCCTTATGCGTCTGGGGCCTGTGTACAGCCTTGAATGCCCCGTTGTATTCTCACGAAACCCCACGGCATGTGGCGGGGGCCCCTGCTGGTGCCTCGGTCGGGTGGCAGGCTCAGGGATGGGCACACGGCGTCTTTCCAAAGAGACAGCTCACTGCCTTCCCTGTCTCCCCAGGATATCCTGATCACTCACCCCTTCACAAAGATCTCCAACTGGAGCAGTGGCAACACCTACTTCCACATCACGATCGGCAACTTGGTACGGGGAAGCAAGCTCCTGTGTGAGACTTCGCTGGTAAGGAAAGCAACAGGCTCCCAGGCAGCCAGTTTGTAATGAGGAAGGCACCACTGGTGATGCACAGCTGGCATGAAGGACAGAAGCTTGATCCTGGGCAGAATCTGACCATTGGCGGGCAGGCATGAAAAATGCTGCTTCTGCTTTATCGTCAAAAGCCAAGCTTCTAGACCTCATGGCTGTAAAGATACACAGCATGGAGCATATGGAGTGTAATATTGTGGTGAAATTGCACACCTGTGCACACTCAGAGGCTGGGTTCAGACAGCTGATACCCATACTCAAGTACTGAGCATAAGTTGAGTGTACTTTGTGGTTGACATATGGGTTAGCATGTTGTCTGAATCCAGCATGGTTGGTTAACCACAAATAACCCATGAAGAGAACCCATGGTTTGTCCTTGAGTTCTGAACTGTGGATTGTTTACTATGGTTTGTTAGCACGGCTGGGTTCGGACAACAGGATAACCCATGGTTCAGCATCAGTCCATGTTCAACCCCTGAGTAGGAGTTGTTGTGTTGTCTGAACCCAGCCAATATGGGGGGTGGGGGGTGGGGAGAAATTGACATAGGCCATTCATTGGCAAGAGGCTATCAGATTCTGTGGGTGGGAAATGGAAAATGTAGATGCATCCACCAAAGGGATTTCTTTGGAAGCAGCTTGACCTTGTCCACTGTTCCCCCAAGCCAAGCACAACCTCCCAGTGCTAAGAAGGAAACAAGGGAAGCTTCTGCTCCCCAGGCAATTTCAGTACAGTGCATTTCCCTTTTGCTCTGTACAGTGTACCCCGCAATTATGTAAGAGAAATTAGCAAAATTTTATTGCTTCCTTTTCTGATGTCCTGCCACTGTCTTTAGAAGCCAGATGGAAGAACAATACGGTCCTTCATGGAGTCACTCCTCGCTTCCTCTCGTCTTGTCTCACTTTGTTTTGTCTCGATTTATTTTATTTTATTTTATTTTTAATTTGTTTGTTTGTTTGTTTGGAGAACGTATATGCCACCCCATTCACATAAGCCTCGGGGCGGCTTCCAAACAGTTTGGAAGTTTCATTTTGTTTCGTTTCACTTCCAGGCCACCCAATAAGTAAAGCTCTCAGGCCAGTTTATACAGACGAAAACCTTTCAAAGATGTTATAAAAGCCATGTACATACAAAACAGGCAGCATGCACAGAGAGACACGGACGTGGCAGATCCGTCACCCTGCAGCCTGAATGGCCAGACGGAGCCCTGTCGCATTCCTCCATGATATTCCGGCCTGGTCTTTTTTGCAGCGATTCTGGTGCATTTTCAGATTCAGTGTTAGAATCCTTACTTGTGGAGGTGGATGTGTCCTTAACCTAGACAGATTGCTCCTTTGTGGAGTTCTTGGAACCCCAAAGGCCGTTGTCCCTGGCTTTACCTCTCTGTCCGCCATTTTGTGAGCAGCTGCAGTTGGTTAATCCAGTCTCTCTGGTTAACAGGAAGTACAGTTCACAGATACCTGACATCTTCCCACTTCTGGTCTGGGATACATTCGAGTGTTTATGTCCACAGGATCATCCCACCATGTGATACCTTCACCATTGTGTAAGATTGTGCACAATGTAGAAAAGCTAGTTGAGAAGCACCTCTCTCTCTTTCTTTCATACAGTACTGGATTTTGGTATCATCCAGTGACATTGATTGGCAGTAGATTCCAGACAGACAAACCAAAGTACTTCCCAGAATGGAATTCACGGCCACAAGGGGTGGCGACGGCCATCAGCCTAGATGGCACTAGAAACCACTGACCAAATTCATGGAGAAGAAGAGTTGGATGACTCTCGTGTCTGTATCAATCTCATGTCTTTATTGAGTCAAATGAAAGGCCACAGAAAATGACAACTTTCAAGATCTCCGGATGTCACAAAAAATCTGGTGGAGGCAGGGGGAGAAAGGTTGACTTGAGGTTTATTTATTTATTTATTTATTTATTAAAACATTTCTATGTCGCCCCTTGCCGAAGCCTCGGGGCGGCTCACAACACAAAGTAAAATACAATAAAATACAAAAATAACAATATAAAATTAACAACATAAATAACAATATAAAAGAAGTCGCCCTGGCCAGATAAATAAGCAACTATTGTTAACAATTAAAATGACGCTTAAATAAAAAGGTCTTCTCCTGGCGCCGAAAAACAAATAACGACAGTTGAGGTCTTCCTGGTCGCTGTCTTAAGATGTAATGAAGGAGGGTTTTTACAGATGTTCAGAATGGGCTCTGCCAGGTCATGCCATGATTTCTTTTTCATCTGAAACTGTCCCTAGAACTGGGAATTAGAAATAAGCCAGCAGTGGTTGGTCATTCATCTTTGGCCATGTATAATCCAGTGGCTAAACGGATCAGGGGCAGCAGGCCACAAAGGTCAGGGGCTGAGGAGCAACAGAAGGAGAGCAGAATTACCTTTGTGGCCTCCCGGCAGGAGTCATCTCATTGGCCACTGGTGGGAGAGCAGGTGCTGGTCTTGATGAACCTTCGAACTGATCCATCCTGGTTCTGATGTGGATCTCAGTCCACTCACAGAGTGCCAGTGCAGTCCAGCAGCCCCCAAAGTGGTTGTCTGCCTTGCGCACCCACACCAACCTTTGCGTCTGCTTTGGTCTTCAGTGTGAAGCATCTCTCTCCACCCCCCGTGCTCTGTGCCATTCCAGGGGGACCCAAATGCCAAGGCCCTTCCTGGCTTTATGCAAAGCTGACCTGAAGATCAGAGTACAGGCCTGTAAGGCAGGCAGATGCTGCAGAGGCCATGCTGAACGGGGGAAAGGAAGGGGAGACCTGAGGGAGACGAGATGCGTTACCTCCTTCTGCTTTCTTTGCCAGGGCTACAAGATGGACGACCTCTTGACCTCTTACATTAGCCAGATGCTGACCGCCATGAGTAAACAGAGGAGCTTGAAGGGTGGCAAGTGAACTGAGAGAAGTCGCTGGCTGGTGGCCCTCGAACGGCCCTGCCAGCTGTTGGCAGTGGGCTATCCTTGCAGCTGGGGCAGGACCTTCTCCACCCACATGTGGAGGATGAGCCGGACTCCTTCCGAAAGCCCGTCGGACTCTGACCCCGAGGACTGTGGCCTGACTTCTCCTTCAAGCGAGGATGACTATCTCTGAGGATGGACCTCCGTGGCTTCTCCCCTCTCTCTTTCCCTCTCTTGTGCAGGACTTGCACCTCAGTGCTGCCTCTTTCACACTGTGGGACAGTGAAGCTCCAGCCTTGTGAACGTGGAACCAAAATAGCGGGAGTCGCCCAGGCCTGTTGGGAAAGGCTGCTTGAAGGCCTTTGACAGCCAGAATCGGCTGAGCGGTCGATGGCTGCCGGGCCGTGCTAGGAACAGAAAGGAAGCATAAAAATACGCTGGGTTCAGGGACTGGGCACTTGTGAGAGGAGGCAACTTTTACACGGGTGTGGGGGGGGGGAGTCCATTTTTAAAATAATAGCTATAAAAGGTTGGGTGAAAGGCGCCCATTTTGCAAAATGGACAGAGGAAAACGCACAGCACAGATCGGGAAAGGTGCCTGTAGATGGGCAACAGAGAGCTTAATGTACAATATCATCTGGGCTTATTTTAAGGAAGTTTGGTTTTAAGGTGGCTTGTTTCATGCTTATATTTATTGTGTGGTGGGAAATGTCTTACCTGAATCAGTAGAGCCTGCTTCGGAGAAGGTTTCTGACAAAATTGGCTCCTCTTTTGTGAAGAAGTACCCAAAAGTTAAGACTTATTTTCTTATAGGTGTGCTTAACATTGACTAGATTGAGATGACACGAGAACCCATGCTCAAGGAGTTCTCTGAACCATGCCTGGGTTGCTTCTAAGTACTTATCCCATTATCTGAACCCAGCCAAGGTGACAGACGATGGGTTCTGTTCCTGGTGAACAAGCCATGGCTTGTTAGTGCAGCTGGGTTCAGACAACACAAGCCAGATTTCAACAACCCACAGTTCAACAACAACCCATGCTCAGCCCTTGCATGAGGACTACTGTATTGTCTGAACCTAGTTGTTTTGTCTGGAGTTTCTGTGTCTTGGATTGGAGGCAAAAAGAGCAATGAAAGCAGGAAGTTTTTAATTTCAGTAGTTCCTTCCAGGTTTGGCCAAGAGAGATCTCCTTGGAGTGTAATGCATCACGCTAAACAATAGAAGTAAATGAAATGGAATTCTTTCCCTCTCCGGAAGGCAGCAGCCTTGAATTTTCAGGGTTGCCAAGGACGGTCAGTGGGACTATCAAGGGCACATTTCAGAGGGCTTTCGCTTATACGGTTGCTATAAGTTGGAGATTGTTTGATGGCACATAAGTTGAAGACAAGCTTTTCATTGTAGCACCAAAATGAATCATGCCAGACGGTGGTGGGGAGATCTCTACTCGATCATTCTCATTTAACTTGGCAACAGTGGTAAATATAAATTCTTCCATTTGAATCCCCAATTAAGGATATTGTGAGTTTGAGGGGGAGAAGTGGATAGTTTACATTTACACCTTAAAAGTTATCCAGGGGAGGAAAAAGCAGGTCGTTTTTTTAAAAACTCAGGACTTGGAGACTGTTTTTGAATGGGGATTTCAGGGGGGGGGGGAATGCAATTTGAAGAGGCAGATTTGAATGCAGAAACCTGCTCGCATTTTGAACGGGGGATGCAGTGATGCAGTTCTGTCATTCTCTACCCAAACCAATTTTCAGTATCTCCAATGCAATAGCAGCCCCTATTTTAACCATGTTGCGGGTACATTCAGTTGAAGGACACGATCCATTTGGAGCTATCAGCAAGGGCGGGGCAGGGGATGCCCCATCACCATGAATAAAATTGCACAATTTTAATAACTTAAAAAGATTGTTCATGAAGGGATTCCCAGTCAAGGTGTTGTGGTTTTGTTTGTTTGTTTGTTTGTTTGAGTTTGGACTCTGGGAGAGTGTAATACTTTCAGGCCAGTGTATCACACCGAGGTATCACTCGAACCATGTGCGGGATTCCATCTTGCCCCACGGACTGACAACGAAGGAGTCGCTGTGGTTTTCAGCATTGTCGTGTCTCTGTCGCCTGGCGTATTTAGGCGGCAGGCGAGGTTGGCATCTTTCTCAGCGTGTGCGCTCTCACATAAATGGACTTTCTGTGTCTCTCCTGTTCTAGAGGCCATTTATGGCGCAGAGGGGGCCCAACACGCGTGCTCTGTGCTTCTGCTGTTTTTGTCTATCATGTTCGTATGTGAGATGTGAGACGATGCTGTGGAACGTTCCCATTAAAGCAAAATGTTTTGGGGGAGGTGCAAAGAGAGAGCCGAAGTGAAGGTGGTTTTATCAATGCATGGGAGAAATGGGATATTGCTTTATGGCTTGACTGCTGTGCCCGACGTACCAAGGATGGCTGAAACACACCCTGAATGAACCGGACTTGGACAGAAGCCAAACATTTTTCCGCCGGCCCTCTTGTAATCAAACATGATCAGACCAAGGCTGTGCCCAGCCAGGTGCCACCGTGAAGCCCCCAAGCAAGAGATCTGAACAAATTCATCTTGTGGGAGGCTTTTCCTACCCCACCTTAGCAAGCAGGGCCCAGTTTGTACTAGATGGTACCAAAATTACAGAGCATAGCAACATTTACCTAAAGCAGTGCCTGCAGCTGCCTCAGCCCAGAATCCCCGTCCTTCCCTGCTCCCTCGGGGTGTGACATCGGCTAGGGCTGGTGAGGAGCTGTGGGCCAAACTCTCTGCACAGCTGCAAGCTGCCCGTCTCTGCTCCAGGGGCCTTCTGTGGCCATCGCCTTCAGCCTTGCAGGCTTCCCAGGGGCATTGTGGGAAAAGCGAGGCTGGGCAAGGCAGGCCTTGCTGCTGCTGCAGCTCGGTTCTTCCATTCCCGCATCCAGCCTGAGGAAAGGTAAAGTTCCCAACTAGAACCTTATCTAAGCAATCGAATCCTCCTGGGACCTGGCCGGTGGAGGGAGCTCTGTTCCAGTGCCCGGCGTGAGTCCTGGCATCGCCGTCCTCTTGGCGACTGCCCGCAGCGCCAGTCCGAAGATGCCAACCTCCAGCTGCTGCCTCTGGTCCTCGTGGCAAAGCGACCAAACATTTCCTTTTGTGGAAGGATTTTATTTTTTCCCAGATATTGTAAAAAAAACAAAACTTTTAAACTCCCACTTAAATACAACATAAAAGGAAGGTGGGGTTCACAGGAGACATTCCATCCGTGGAAACAAAACTTGTGGCCCGCGGCTTTCCTCCAGATCGTTGCGGATGCACCTTGCAAGGCATTGTCTGCCACAACCGAAGGGAGCCCTCGCCTCCCCTGGGGCCACTGGCAGAATGAAGACCCTTTCCCCGAAACCTAGAGTAGAATGATCGCCCTGTATTTCCAAGAAAGGATGCGCAACAGCTTTTTGTTCAAGTGAAGGCCACAAGAATGAGCACCACTGGCGTTCTCAGGACCCCATGCCTCTTAATCAGGGAAGAACAGGAAAAGAAGGGGGGTCGTTGATCTTCTGCTTAAAGTGGCCCTGGGAATCTCAGTGGCATTCAGCCACTGTGGTCCATTCCAGTCTTTGCACCCTGTTCACTGAATGTGTGGCTTCCTCCGTGGCCAGGCCCAGGCTAGGAAAGGCTCTCCTGTCTCCGCTATCTGTGCTGAATGGCAGATGCACCCTCTTCTCAGGCTACTGTTGGCAACCTGTTAAGTTCTGAAAAGACAGGCGGATGGGGAGTTACATTGTCAGTCCTGACCAAGGTACAGAGAGCGAAGCAAGGGCATCCTTGGGAGAGAGTTACATAAATGCAGAAAATTAGACGTGTGGTTGCTCACAACCACTATCCTGAATGGCACGAGTATGGCTGGATTCAGGCCATTGCCATCAAGGGAGGTGGGTGGTTCCCGTGCCGGTGCAGCAGTGTCTCCACCCTGGGCTTTAGCCTGAATTTTGAAGGAGCTGTCCATTGTTATGGCTTGATGCCAGGAAGTGTTTCCTGACAGTTAGGACCCCGAGGGTGTGGAATGGGCTTCCGCGGGAGGTGGTTGAGGCCCCATCGGTAAGGCTGGACATGCACATGGTAGGCATGTTGTGAGTGGAGCTGGCTGGAGCCGGGGGTCAGACTAGATGGCCCCGGAGCCCCCTTCTGACTCAGTCTGTTTCTCTGTTTCTAGCCCCAGAGGGGTTTTAGCACCATGGAAAGCCTCTGAAGCGCAGGATGGATGCATGATACTGGGTAGGGCAAGATGGATGACTCTCACCTGGCCACACCCCTGCATCTCTGGGGAGCACCCAACCCCACAGAGGGCGCCGCTCACCTGCTTCGTTGTACAAGTTGCTGCCCCGCTTCGTGCCGCTCACTTTCCCTCCATGGTACCTGCCTGCCTCGTTCCACCTGAAAAGAGCAGGATCGTTTCACCCCTAGCGGCCGCTCCTGGTGCCCCCCTTCCAGCCCCCCCTTTGCGATGTGGCACGGGGAAGAATGCCGGCCTCTGCCGCGGTCCCGCGGGGATGTCGAAGACAAGCCCAACAGCCACCGAGTCTCGCGCCCAGCCGTAAAGTGGGAGAGGGCATCCTCGGCTGGCCGGAACCCTGCTGTGCTGGGGAGAAGCAGCTGGCCACGTTTCTCGCAGGTGTCCCGCTCTGGGCTGCACAGTCCTCTTAATGCTGAGCCCAAAGAGGAGTTTGGAGGCGTGTGCCGGGGATGGAACCGCAAGGCACAGGATGGGTGTTCCATCTATAAAGCCAGGCGTGGAGGGGTGGGTGAATGCAGGGGAGGAAGCAGAAAGGGGCATGCTCTTCCATCTTCGCCCGGCTTTTTTCCCCCATTGCTCAGTCTCTGGGCCCTGAGAACAGTGCTCTTTCCCTGCAGGTGGTGCGAGGGTCACCTGGCGGCGGCAGCCGGATGTCCAGGCCCAGTGGACAAAGTGGGGTGACCTGGTGCACAGCTTTCCTTTGACTGTGCTGGGGACACCGGGGAGCCTGCAAGGAAGGGGGCTGGCTGGCCAGAGTCTCCCCCCACCATCCCACCAAGCACCTGTGGGAGATGCTGCCCCTCCAGGCGGGGCGATGCGGGGAGGCACCCCGGCTCCCTGTGTAGCACCCACACCACAGAGCCCACTGCCCTGCGGGTTTGGCTTCCCAGCCTCGCTCTAGCAAAACACGCAGGAGAGATGTGCTGTCTGGATTTCCTCAGCAGTGCTGGGCCTGGAGGCCCCATGGACCTGAGACAAGCGGGAGCTGGCCATTCGGTCCCGGTGTGAGTGCGTGGGTTCGTGCGTGCGGGGGGGGGGGACTTCACCACCCCCACCCCCAGTCAGTTACATTGCCTGGTGCTGCTGACTCCGTCACTCACTTCTGGGAGCCAGAGAAGACCTGCCTTGGCCGTGCGTGTGAACTGGAAGAGAGAGCTTGCTTTCCAGACCCGTTCTCTCTCCATGCTGCTGCTGGGGGCCCTCTCCCTCTCCCGAATTTCCCCCACTCCTCCTCTTTTCGCCTTCATTCACCCTTCTCATTCTCTTTCTGTTTCCCTTTCATTTCTAGTCTTTCTCCTTCCCCACCTCTGCGTGCGCTCTCTCTCTCTCTCTCTCTCTCTCTCTCTCTCTCTCTCTCTCTCTCTCCCTCTCTCTGTATATGGTGCTCTAGCAGAAGTAAATCTGAAACTTACTCCTGTGTAATGAAGCGTAAGCATGATGAAGAAGGGAAAGGGGATGTGTGAGAAAACGCATGAGCGAGGGGCGGAAAAGAGAAAAGGGGGGGGGTGTCAGAGAGAGAGAGAGAGAGAGAGAACCAGCTCACGTTGGGCCAGAACTCTGCAAGAGGAGGGCCAGGGCGCCTGCATCTTAAATCGTCCTGTGGAAGAGGGCACTTCAGCAATTTTATTTTGGCACCTCCGCACCTGGCGACCCCGTGAGGAAACCTCCCGGCGATCCGAATGAAGCAGACTTCTGGAAGCCAAGCCAAAGAGAAGCCGCACTCAGGCCATGCATCCCCTTCCACTTGGGAAGCTCGTGTGCTGAGGGGCTGGGGGGGCACCCCCACACCTTTAGCCCTCGCATGCGCAGGCCGCATGCTTGCACTGGGCAGCTGCACCGCTGGCTGCGGGTGCTGGAAAGGCCCTGTGACGGGGAAGGATGGTTTCTCGCAGGTGCTCCTGCTCGAATGCTCGTGAGAACCCGTAAGGTCCTCCGGGTTGTTTCCATACTGCGACCGAGGTCGACAGCAGCCCCCTGCGGCAAAAGGTGCAACATCTGGGAGGAAGGAGAGGAAGAGGATGCAGGCCAAGGATGGGAAACACGGTGCGGCATGTGGGTGCAGGCAGGACGGGGGAGCGGGGCTTGCAGGGCTGGGTGACCCCGTGGCCCGGCCCAGTCCCAGGGACCTCCTTGGGGTCTTCTGGGATTGAGCAGAAGAGCCTTGCCTAAGGCCTGGGGTGAGTCCCATCTTGGAGAGAAGGTCTGAACTGGGGACACGTCTGTCCGCAGCCGAGTCTCTCGGGTCAAACCACACATTCCTCTTCTCCAGGTGGTAGCTTTGCTCTCGACCCTCGGGTCATGCTAGATGATGGGTAAGGACAGCTGCAGTCGGGGCGGAAGGACGGCATGTCCTCAGAAGACCTTGGGCACTGCTCCGCCCCGCCTGGGTGCCCAGGGACGCGAGGAGCAGGCCTCCAGGGCTGCCCCCACTCCCACCACGGCAGGAATTACCAAAAGAAGATGAAGATGGCGCAGATAAAGATGATCGCCACCACGTCAGTCATGATCCACATGGTCCGGTACTCCTGGGGGGTCTGCAACAGAAGAGCATGCCTCGAGGTGAAATGCAGAAGGCTCAAATGGAAGGGAGAGGCCCAGCTTCTGCTCGGATTGTTGGAAGCAGCCTGGCTTGAGAATTTGGTCCTTGGAGAGCTGCAACAGGATGGGGCTGGCTGGCCACAGAGGTGGATGGCTCCTCTCTCTGGCGCTATTCCTGGGGCTCCATGGTGGTAGCCCTTTTTGGGGAATGTGAGATAGGCACCACGGATAGCTCCTGGATGGGTCAGAATAAAAGCTGCTGTGTTTAAGGAACCCCTCCAGCCTCCTCTGTCCACCTCCACCTAGGCAGCCACGAGAAAGCAGATGGGGCCCTCCCTGCCCCTTTCCTTGCCGAAACGGCGAGATGACATATTGCAGTGCGCACACAGGCATGGGCCAGCCTACAGGCCCTCCAATTTCTGGGGGGAACAGCGTGTCAGGCAGAGCAATCAGATCAGGGAACGCAACTACTCCAGCTGCTATCAAGCAAACACATAACCATGCACTTCAGCGCACTTTGGTGATGGTCAGTAAACCCTAGTGCAGTCTGAAATATCCTGAAAAGCATCAAGGCGGTTTCGCAGTGGTTGAAGTGGGACTTGACAACCTTGCTTTGGTTGCCAAACCCCTCTCCTTCCTCCTGCTGGCACTATTCTTCTATCCGGACATAGGAAGGACCCAGGAGCTGAATCGGTGGGCAACTTGGGTCTGGCTGGAAGAACAAGTTTCATTTGCGCCCACCAAAGTTCTCCAACCATTCGGTGGACCACCATTTATTCTTCCGTCTCTGTTGCAATTGCTTTTCATTTTGTGCAACCAGAGAAATTGTGCAAACAAAATTGCACAAACGTTTCCCAGATTTGAGCCAGTTTCCCTCATCCATGGAAGTATGGATGTGTTAAAGACAGAGCATTTGTGCATTTCGAGAAAAGCTGCTCATTTTTCAGCTATACATGGAGAGCTGCATTTGCACTGGCGTCCAGGATTGTGAGTGGGCCATTTTCAACAGATTTGCAAGGTGGAGCAAGATCATCACACCTCCACAAACATGAGCAGAATAGCAAAAGAAGAGGACTCGCCCTCCTAAACACAGTGGAAGGGTGAGCAAAGGGCTTGGTTCTCTGCTTCCCTTGGAAGTTTGCCATCCTTGCAGCTCTTGCAATATAGGGGGACAGAGATGCAAAGTGCGTTGCATTTCTGATATCTGCATGAGGAGCTGATCTTCTGAGCAGCAGCAGCAGCAGCTGGTAGCTCCCATGTCAGTGGGGTGGCTCATCCACTCCAGACTGCAGCCTCCGCCACGGAGGAGCTGTCCCTGGTGCTGAACCTAGTTTGGCAATTCAGTGAGGGCTAACATCTGGAGTGGAGATGCTGCCCCACTGATATTGACCCAACAACCTCCACTGCTTCTGGGGGAGGAAAGGCCCCAAGCATGGGAATTTCCTCCACCCAGTTTTGGGGGGCCTTTCTAGCATTTTCAGAAGGCTGGAGGGGTTGTCCGAGGACAGAGAAAGCGTGGACCCTGCTGCTATCAGCACAGGGGATCTGGCATGAATCTGGAGCCGACCCAGGGGGTGGATCCAACGCACAGACTCTCTTCCTCCATCAATGGGCACCTTCTCTTGCTATAAAACCTTGACCAATATTTGCAAGCTAAAGGAAACGTGTGTGTTTGTGAGGGTTATGACGACGTGGTGGGATGTCTGGAGGCATCCAGTAGGGTACATCCAGCCTTCAAGATGTGCATGATCCCACGGGCTGTTGTATGTGCCTTCGAGTCATCTCTGACTCGTGGCAACTCTATGAACAAATACCTTCCAAAAACTCCCAGTCCCCAGTTTGGCAGCTCCGATGTGCAGCGTGTTTGAAAATATCCAGGAGGACCTATTTATTCTTTGAACAGGGAACTGCTGTACTGTGGTTTATACATCTGGGTTCCCCTCCGCACCTTTGCTCTTTCTCTTTATGTACTTTAGTCCAACTAAGGCCTGCTTTAAGCCTGCAGTGCTCCTTGGGCAACACTTAAATGGAACACCCTTGTCCTACATCAGTGCTGTCGAATTCCCAGGATTCCTTGCCATACTTTAGCCATCTAGAGGGTCAGACTAGATGACCCCGGAGACCCCTTCTGACTTGCTCTGTTTCTATGTTTCTAAATGTCATGGGACAGGCCCTTAAGCAACAGAGCAAACTCAAAGCGCATGGGAACGCTGTGCATGCAGTGCCCATGGAGCATGGCAGCTCCACACGTTTTATTTTTAGTTTTTTGTGTGGGGGAGATGCTTACCATGAGGAAGAAAGGCTGCTTGAGCTTGTTCAAGGAGTGCACAGCATTGGTGGTTACAGAATGAACGCCGTAGCACCAGGCCAGGGAGAACAACCACGGCTCACTGATCACCCAGAAGTTCGTTGTGATGTTTGCTTCTGCGTATTTCCTTTCAAGCAAACACACGGGTTTCTCTTAGACAATTTTCAGTGTCCCACTGAAATAAGCCATCAAACCATTTATCTCAGAAATCCAGAGCACATTTTCTGCTCTGTTCTCTTTGACCAGGAAAGAGGAAGGGAGGGAGGGAAAGAGACAGGGAAAGAGACAACTTTGCCCGGGCAAGCAACCTACTGAATATCTATGTTATTTATTTGCCGGTAGTCCAAGTTAATTTTCACAATGTTCCAGAACTTGAGGTCTTCAAGTGAATCCGCACTTGATGCGGTCTGCTTGAAGCCAGGAGCCCGGGAGTGAACATAATATCTCAAACGACTCGGCAGCCAAAGGACCTGCAATTTGGAAAAGAGTGAAATCTTATCTGAAATACTTTTTGCCTGCCTTCCGTGAGACTGTTTTTGAGAGAGATTTATTTCCAAGTCTCTCTCTGCATTAATCTGCAAAAAAAGAAAGCAGAGGGATCTGCAAGCTATGCCCTATATCTGGGCTATTCAGGGAAAAGCTTTTTCTTGCTTCGGCCCTGCTAGGGGCAAATCTGGTGGAGGACGAGAGAAGGGCATCTTGGGGGCTGCATCTCCCCTGCTCTCCTGCCAAGACAGGTTTATTCAGGCAAGTTCCAGGGTATCCTCTAGCCCATTGCAGAAGAGGCAACTGTCTGGCTTCCCTCCCTTGTTTTTATGGCAGTGTTTCTAATGGCGCTCTGTGCATTATAATTAAGATTTGCTTCTCGCCTGTGTTTCAAAAGTGTTTCACTTTTGCTGGAAAGGAAGGGTATTAAATAAAGATTTAAATCTCTGCATTTTTAAAGTATTTTCTCTCAACATACGCATTGAAAAATGCACGTTCATGGTTTTTACTTTTCTTATTTGAGCTGTGTGGCAACAGTTGGTGAAGCACAAAATCCGCTCAGGTTACTTTGTGAAGGCTTTTGCAGTGACAAAACACCCCCCGAAACATTTGTGGGGCAATCAGAACAAACAAAACTTGAATGTCACCCTACACTAAATAAATTTGTGGGTGGGGGGGGGCGTTCCTACATTAGGCTAATAATCATGAATTACTGCGATGTGAACTCTTGTCTAAGAAGGGAAAAGAAATTCATTTTGTACCCATTTGAGTGCGAACTTGTCTGCTTTTGTGCTATGTGAGCAAAGGTTCTCCTTCATGATTTGCACTTTTCCAAATTTTGCAATGCAGCTTTCTCATTAAAATAACGCAGATGTTACAAAAGCAATAATGGTCAAATAGGCATGACATTAGGAAAACCTCTCAAGAAAAAGTGTGCATTAGGCAAAATGCATACAAAATGCATGAATTAGGGTGTGGAAAAACAACCTGATGGATTTTCATGCAAGCTTTTTGGGATGACTTAAAGGGTGCAGTCCTGTGCACATTTAGACAGAAGAAAATCAAACAACTGGCTGCAAACCCCAACAGTTCAAGGACTTCCTTCTTGCTAGAATTGTACCTTAGGGCCAGCGAAATGTTTGAAGTGTAAGATGAACTCAGTGCTTTTTTTGTAAGAAAAAAGGTGCTGGAACTCATGAAATTATTTACCTTTCGCATGTAGTCAATCATTGTACACACACCCACACACGCCAGTTGTGTAACAGTCGCCGCCCGCAGGAAGCACTCAGAGCGCAACCACACGACCAATCACAAGCCAAGCAGCGCCATCACAACCAGCGCGGACGAAGTGTGCACGCATCGGACTCGACACACAAGTAGCCCGCACGCACCGTTTTAATGATTTTGCCGCCGACCTGCTACGCTCGACAGGGCGATTCGAATCCACGTGGACCAAACATCAGATTTTCAAAATTTACTTTTAAAACTTGGAAAATCTGTCGAAAAAAAGTGCAGGTGTGTTCTATGACAAAAAAAGCACTGGCTGGACTGAATCTTAAGAGAGGGTTTATCCAAGAGAGGGTTTATCCATCACTAATATTCACTATGTGAACATTAGTAAAGCTTTAAACCACCAATGATCAGATCTCCAGCAAAGTGAGTAGAAAATTTGTTATTTGTTTTTCGTTATTTGTTTTTCGGCGCCAGGCAAAGACCTTTTTATTAAAACAGCATTTTAAATGTTAATACTATTGAATTTTATTTGGCCAGGGTGGCTTATTTTATTCTAATGAATATATTTTAATTGTTATTGTCTTAATTTATTGTGTATTTTATTCTATGCTGTGAGCCGCCCCGAGGCTTCGGCAAGGGGTGGCATAGAAATGTTTTAATAAACAAACAAACAAACAAACAAACAAAATGAACTGAGCCAAACAGCAGATTGGGGTCTGGCCCACCCCCCCCCCCCCCAGAGGAAAGACAGCAAAGAAGAGGCTTGGGGTGGAGGGGAAGTTTCCTACCAGTTCAGGTTTAATCGCGGAGTCATTCAGAAGCACTTCCAACACTCGGTGGATGTATTTCTCCCTGTAAGGATGATCCTTGGGAGGGCGGTAAAGATCAAAGATAATGTATTTGTTCTCCTTGTTAGCGAGCTTCACAAAATCTATTAGCTTGTAAATCTTCTGGCTCTTTGCCCATATTTTATCTTTGCGTGAAAGCTTGGGCATGCCAAAGAACGGCCTTTTCTACAAAACAAGTGAGGGAGATCAGAGAGAAGCAGTCCAGCCCGAAACTCAAAAGCCGAAGAGCTGCTGCCGAGCGTACCTCGAAAAACCACTTCCCAGCGTTCAGTTTCTCCAGGACGGGCCAGGTGAAAAAGGCTGCCTCTAGGTTCCCCAGTGCGGGAAAGACCTCGTCGATGTTGGTGGTCCTTTTCAGAGTTCTGTCGTGCATGAGGAACGGGACTCCGTCGAAGCTGCCCGGGCAGAAAAAGCAACTTCTTGCGTCAAGCTTGGAACGTCATGTAGGTGCTGCACCGGGAGGTGGGCCTCGGACGGTCCCCATCCAGTTAAAGAAACTGACACGGAGCTCATTCCACTGTCCCCTCCCCACCCTCCAGAAAAGCACTTTGCACAAAACTCATGTTTATTTGTTTATTGGATGTATAACCCCTCTTTTATCTTACAAAGAACCCAAAGAGGCTTACATCGTTCTCTTCCACCTGCTCTCAATCTTATCCCCACAACAACCCTGCAAGGTAGGTTGGGCTGAGGGTCTGTGCTTGGCCCAAAGCCACCCAGTTGGCTCCATGGCTGAGCAGGGACTAGGACCTGGATCCCCGAAGTCCCAGACCCGTGTGCTTGACCACTACACCACACTGCCTCCCCTATCTTTTTTTGCAGCAGTGTTTGCTGCCCCCAGTTGCACCCTCCCACTCCTCCAAAACCATCCAAATATTTACCTTATTATTACTAATTTGCAACCTTTTAGCAGCACCCATGAAGAAAACCACCCATGAAGAAAATGAATTTAAAACCATAAAATGGAAAAAGACGAGACAAAAATAAGAAGAAAAACAAGTTGAAACAGCGCCCAGATGACACCAGCAATGCTAGCACCTCCAAAAGAAGAGGTGTGGACGACGGAAAAGCTTAGGGCGAAACATCAGTGGTCTTTGTCTAATGTTGGAAAGGTCACGCACTTCTATCAAACTTGGGACTTTTTTTAATATTGGCTAGAGAAATGGGACTTTGCATAGATTTAAATATGTTTTTAAAGTTATCATAAATGGAAAAAGAAGGGTGTGGGAGCTGACCTAGCAGGCTCGAAGTTTTTGATGATGGATGTTGTTTGTAGTGTTTTGTTTTGTTTTGTTTTAGGATTATAATTTCAAATAAAACTTATCTTTAAAAAAAAAAAAGGAAAGTCACACTAGCAGGGCCATGTTGGAATCACCAAACAAGTTAGATCTCACCCCAGCACAACAAAGCCCATCAGGTTTAGCTAGGGGGCGTCTTCACGGAGCAACCACATGGATGGAAATTTTTTCCCGCAGAGCAGCTAGCAGAATGAACACTCTTACCTGATTGTGACGTCGGTCTCCAAACCGATCCCCCCGTGATGAATGGTTTTAATAAATGACATCTCGGTGTTCTCGGGAGCCACCTATTACGGAACGGGAGAGGCAGACATCGCTGATTGACGAACGCCGTGAAGTCTGAGCCAAAAGTGCGCGGGACAAGAAATGCGCGATTGCATTGAACTGTCACGAGAAAGCCGAAGGGGAGGCCTCAGGCTGACAACCACAAAGTCTGGGGAAGCTGCAACCCTTTGCCAAAAGTGTTTCCCACCCAGACAGAAGGTGTCACGAGGGCCGACAGCTGCTCCCCTCTTGCTCCGTTACATTTCTAGAAAGGGGGTTTGCTGGGACTGCAGCGCAGGAAGGAAAGGGTTCGTGTCCCTTTTCCGTGTGCCAAAGGGCCTGGCACAGACCTTTAGAAGGCCTGTTCCACGGGTGGGAGGACGAGCAGAAAAATAATGTGCCTTTTTTGCTTTTCCTTTGGGGCCTTTCCTACCTCAGCTCTTCTCCCAGCTTGACCTACCATGGGTGCTCCTCTGTGTCCAATCAGGTCTGGCTTGGGACCCAAAGTCCCCTTCTCCCGGATGCAGGGGGAGTACATCCCTAGTGGGATGAAGAGGAGGAAGAGAAGGATGCTCAGGTAGGGACCAAGGATCAGCACCTGCAGGACTGAATGAAATTAAGGTGGATGAGATTAAGCCCCTCGAATTCAGGAGCTTCAGGCAGCTTGGCATTTGGTGAAGCGCTGTGCTGACAGGTATGAAAAGCCAGGGATGGGCCAGGTCTGTTCCTGGCCCATGTCATGTTTGCCTACATTGACCCAGGAGTCCATTCTTTCATAAGAATGAACGAGTTGACCAAGGTCCATCTAGCCAGCCCGTTGCCCAGAGGAAACCCACAAGCAGGACCTGAAGGCAACTCCACACTCTAATCCATTATCCCCAGCAACGGCTGCTCATACGAACACTGCCTCTGATCCTGGAGGCATCAGGACTGAAAGCCACAGACAGCCTCCTCCTCTGATCCCTTTTAAAAGCCAATCAGATTAGTAGCATTCTCCAGTTTAACTCTGTACTGTGTGAGGAAGGGCTTTTCTTTGCTCTGTCCTGAATCTTCCACAACACAGCTTCATGGGATGAGCCCTTTGGGTTTGGGCATTAAGTGGGGAGAGGAGAATGACCCCCATCATGCCCAATTCTCTCCCATCTCTGCAGGGCATGGTCTGAAGGCGTGGGAGGTCGTTCGTGCTTGGAGGGGAAACTACCTGGGAAGCGCTTGGAATTGCCCTTGAGTTCGATGACGGAAAAAATGTGAGCGATAAATGAAATAAGGACATAATCCACTTTTTAAATCATCTGCCTGAAAAATTGCATTTAATAAATATACATTTTAACATGCATTCTCTTTCAAGATATGCATATATGAGGGTTCTTCAAAAAGTTTCCGCACTTTTTAAAACTCACTTTATTAAGAATTTCAAAAACAAATTACATCACTTTTCATTTTCACGGCATCGTACCAACTTTTTAATGCCATCAGCAATAAATAAATAAAATATATTTATAAAATATAAAAATGTGGAAACTTTTTGATGAACCCTCGTATAAATTTGTTTTGGTATGCTGTTTTGGCCCCTAACTGCATCGGAAAATTTAGGAATTGCCCAGGCTGGTAAAAAAGTGTGTTCCAGAACCGGTCAGCTCTTATCATAGAAACAGAGCGAGTCAGAAGGGGCCTCCCGGGCCATCTAGTCTGACCCCCCGGCTCGAAAGGTGCACCCTGCTGAGTAGCCTAGACCCATTCCGCTCACCCTGCAGTGGCCCAGGTGCGGTCCGGGCCGCCTTAGCTGCCGTTCGGTCTGGTTGAAGTCAAAGCAATCGGCCTGCGTTTGGCCTGGCTCTACCTGCAGGGACCTCAGATGTGCAAAGCGGCTTCATGCAGTTGGATCAAAGCCAAAGGGCAGGCTGTGGTCCCCCCCCCACCCCACCACCACCCCAAAGGGCAGTCCATGACGGGGCCAGCCAAGTCCTACTCGAAGCTAAGGCTAAACAAAAGAGGGCCTTGACCCCCCTCCCCCAGGCTTGCCTAGTGCAGCAACCGCTCTTCCTCCACCGGCAGCATCAGCGGAGGAGCAGTGGCCGCGGGATTTGGGGGATTTGGCTTCGGGAGCGCTGGCCTGGAGGCGGCTCAGGCAGAGACCTTGGGAGCGGGTGGGCAAGACTCGCAGGTGGGCTGGGCTGGGCTGAGCTTCGGCAGCAGGGCATGGTGTCCTTCATCGTTTCGATATTTTTCAAAAACGGATCAGACGAGATTTCAAGCAGAGGCGTTTTACGCCTGTCCAGGGAGAGGTAGACCTACAAACCGATGCAGCCGTACCTTTGTTTTTCATCCGGAAGAAATGCAGCGACACGGGCCACGCCAGCAGGATCGTGATGAATATGGCGGTCACGTGGAGAAAGGGGGCCGTGATCTGAAGGGGAGAGGGAACGGATGCCCTGAGTCCTGCGTACAGGCCTTTGCCTTTAGGAGCACAGCTCGGACGCTTGAAGCACCCACCTCAAACGGGAAAGCTTCGAGCCAAGAAATCAGGTTTGCAAATAGTATGCCTGTATCCATCCGGAGTGCGGGCTTTGCCGCAACTCCCTACTGGATGGCACACGATGACGACGACGACGACGATGATGATGATGGTGATGATGATGATATGCAGCGCAGCTTGGCAATGGAAAGAACACGGGGAACATTTGGATGTGTGCCAGCGTATCCATGAACGCCGAAACTAAGAGATATGCGGCTCTTGAAGCTTGCAGGGTGGAGGTTTGTGCTAGTGGCTTCGGTCCTAAACCCGGGTGTACATTACAGGAGCAACCGCTCAATTGGTCGCAGCACCGCCAAAGCAGATTTGTGCCGGCTTAACTTTGAGCCAAGAGGCATAGCAGCTCCCGGAGCTGGAGTCCTCTTGCTCTACATTAGTCCAACACAGCTGGAAGGCAGAAGGTTGTGGTGGGAGTCTGCTCCACCCCCGTTCCCTCTCTTGGAAGTATGATCCTCTCCTGTTTCTGCAAGCCAGGAACTGGAGCCCATGCAGCCCAGTAGCTAGAGTGCCAGACGGGGACTTGGGCGATCCGGGTTCTAGTCCCCGCTCAGCCAGGAAGCTCCCTGGGTGACCAGGGGCCAGTCGCAGACTCTCAGCCCTGCCTACCTCGCAGGGTTGGCGTGAAGATCCCAGTGGAGAGCAAGAGGGCCATATAGGGCTGCCTTGGGTTCTTTGCAGGAAAACAGTATATTTGTATTTTTGTATTCAATGGTAATTTATTATGTTCTATTGTATTTCAGTGTATTTTATTGTGTTGTAAGCCGCCCCGAGGTTTCGGCAAGGGGCGGCATAGAAATGTTATAATAATAATAATAATAATAATAATAATAATAATAATAAAATAATAAAACAGTGAGAAAAAAAGAGCAGGATAGAAAGGGAGAGGCAGGTTACCAGGTGAGCCACCTTGGGTTCCACGCCAGAGGAGAAAAGCCGGGATTATACATGCAGCAATGATACACAATAAGTGAACAATAAAGCTTAGTTTGTGGGTGCTGATGTGTTTCCTAACCAGATGCCCGGGGTTTTCTTACCTGAAATGAACACCAGGGTTTTCTTACCTGAAATGAAAGGTAAAAAGTATTCCATTGCTGTTTCCACAGAAAGGTGATCAAGCTGAGGCCGATAAGGGCGATGAATAAGCCAATCCCCGTCATTACCTACAAGAGCAGATGTGACAACACACAATCAATTAATGCAGCCTGGACAATTTGAAGCAGAGGAGGCTTTTCGGGCTGCTGTTAAATTTGGATGGGCTGGCTTTTGTCCCACATGCACGGCTCCCCTTGAATCCTTCTCCGTGAGGATTATCATCTATACCTCCCGTTTTGCAAACAGAGTTGTCCTTAGGAGACAGGGTTCCCTAAAGAGGCACAGTTTTTAGTGTGGGCAAATTACCACCTGCGACTTAATTGTGGGTAGCAGAAGAAGTTTGCCTTTGGGGGTCTGCCAAGCCGGCTAAGACGAAGAACAGCTCGTCATGTTGTGCCTGTTCTCTCTCCTTGCCTCTCCGCCACTTAGGTAGTCCCAGGCTGGCTTTGGGCACAAACGCTATGCAACTCTGGAGAGCACACCTGGCTGAGGCATGATGCATGCTGGGAGTTACAGGCCTTTTCTGCCTAACCTGGCACAGGATTGCCCTTTTCCTAACTTGCTCTTAGATCTGCTGGTGCTCTTACTATCATCGTAAGAAACGGAAGACTATAATTTTTTTCCTCATGACCAAACAACAAGGCTCGGTTATTTAGGGTCCTAACAGAGAGACACAAAAGGATAGACTATATGAAATTAAACCCCTGTCGAGAAAGTAACAATTTGTAAAGATAAGCCTGGAAGCAGATGTTTTGACATGGAAAGGAAGTGTAAGTTGTTCAAGGACAGGCTGGACGTCCACATTGTGGGCATGTCATGAGCAGAGCCGGCTGGAGCCGGGGGTCAGACTAGATGGCCCGGGAGACCCCTTCTGACTCGCTCTGTTTCTATGTTTCTATAACCATGTACAAAAGTAAGGGATTGTTTCCTGCTGGTTATGTTTTCCCTTTTTGATGGCAGTGGCCTGTTTTCATTGAATAATGCTTCCAACTATGACGTTTTCTTTTATTAATCGTTACAAAAAGCTAAACAAACACATTTGCTGTGCATGATGACTGAAGCAGCTGGAGAAGCCTCACTCTCTACTGTAACGAGGGTCTTTTTTAAAACACAGAATGAATCGCTCGTGTTGCCTGCCTTTCTCACAGTCAGACAACGAACAGGAGGGACTTCTTCGTCCTCAGCAAAACAAACAATACCTTTGGATCAACAGAAAAGTGGCAGAAATGTGTGGAAGCTTTCAGGTTATACAGAAGTCTTTGACCGGCAGCTTTGGGACTGCAGTTCAATTTTGTTTCATTTTTCACAATTCTGGTGAGGGCAACACTTTAGCTGTGCTGATCACAAAGCTACTGTCCATGTTACCAGAAGTTTCAACGGGATATTGGAGAAGACGTAATCTCTTCACATGATTAGATCTTAGAACATCTCACCTTTCTGGGGAATGAAATATGGTGGACCCTTTTCGAGACTTTAACATTGGAGCTGTTCTATAAAAGGAAGGGCAGGTGGTATTACGTTACCTTGTGACTCCGGTGCAGACATAACTGTTGGCTCTCCAGCACCAAACACACAGCCAAGATCTGAGAAAATATTGGCAGATGCCGGGTTAGAAATAGTGCAGCTTAGAAAACTTGAGGCCAAAACTTGAGGTTTGAAAGGTTTAAATCAGGGATGGGGGACCTCCGGCCCCGTGTGCCATCTTCATTCCATCCTCTCCCCACATCACCATGCGATTTTCTTTTTCAAATCCACCTGAAAATGTGTCTGCAGAGCTGATCTCAATTTTGGGAATCCACCTTCAAAGAAAGAGTTGCCGCATTTTTCACCCACAACAAGCCCGTCCGTGTTTTTCGGCCAAGATGTATGATCTGCCTTTGGCCGGGTGCTTTTCAGAAAGGGCTATCTCTCTCTCTCTCTCTCTCTCTCTCTCTCTCTCTCTCTCTCTCTCTCTGTGTGTGTGTGTGTGTGTGTGTGTGTGTGTGTGTGTACAGCTTTCTTTCTGTCACTCCTTCGTCCTTAGTGATTGAGCAAGCAGAGTTTTTGCGGAGCTGTTTGGAGAGACGGGATTCTCCTGGGGTGGGTGGGGTGTTGTTTCTCTGCTCTGTACTTCTCCAAGCTACAAGGATCCCCCAAACTTCCACACGCCTCCCTCTTTTTTCCCTCTGGGGCCCCATTCCCTCAGCGATCCTCAATTTACAGCTCAGCCGGGTTGCTGCTTAGAAGGAGCAGAGTGTTCTCATTTGCTTTCCATAACCAGGTTTCTCCTTAGGCCAAAGCACCCGGAGTCCTCATGGGCACCGCTTTTCAAGAAGGCTATAAAAGCAGCGGGAAGAGGTGCTGCGGGGTTTGGAGGGGCCCCCAATCTTCCAGAGTGACCAGCAGCGTTTTCATGCCTCTTCCTCTCCAGAGGATCTTGAAGGCAAGCTTCAGAGGCTTGTTTGAAAGATGCATTGTACCTTGTCTGAAGGCGGAATCCCATGTAAATCCTATGCAAATAGCTGGGGCATGCTGGGAGATGTAAGCCTTTTCTCTGTCTAAACTTCCATGGGCCTCCTTTCTAAATTAGCCTTTATCATCCACCAAACTGAAAAGTCACTTGCAAGCATGGTTAGAGTATTGGAGCAAGGCTGGGGAGATCGACTCTGGGTGACTCTGGGCAAGCCATGGACTCCTTCTTTGATGTCCTAAATTGTCTCCAGAGGATTTAGAACAGGGGTGCTTAACTCCAGGTCCAGAGGCCAGTTATGGACTCTCAGCCTGGCCTACCTCAAGGCAATTGAGCGCTTTTGTTTGGAATGGTGAAAAGCCAAGGGCTTGTTTTTAAATTCTTCAAGATGACCAAGAGAGAGGAGGTCTTGCAGTGCCTAATTTAAAGCTGTATTATTATGCAGTTGGCTTGGTTTGGATTTCTGGCTGGATTATTAATGTTAATGATAGTCTAATGAAGCTAGAAATAGCAGCTCTTGAAGAAGGAATACACAATTATTTATAGGCCAAAGAGCCAGTTTAAAAGGCCTTGACATCAACAACAATCATGTACGAAGAGATGACTTAATAAAAATTTGGTATTCTATAAGAAAACTCCAGTTTCTCCTTTGATGACCCTGGTTGAAGCATATGGAACGTATTTAGGGAAGAACAATGATCTTACAACCTAGGGGAATATGATTGATCAACAAGGAGGAGTTAAGCCTTGGCAACAACTAAGAAATGAAGGGAAAACTATAGAATGGCTTGTTTATTACCAGCTGGTTTCAAGAATGAAAGAGGAAATCCAATCAGGGAAAGGTATTGTAAGAGACCTGATGAAATTTGAAAAGCTTTTCATTCCGCAATGAAAAGATAATTTGCTGGGAAGATTTCATGAGCAATTACTCCAGTCTGACACTGAAACTCAGCAAGTTAAGAAATGTATGATAATTTGGACACAGAACCATGGAGAAGAAATATCCCCCCCCCCATGGGAACCTTTATGGAAGAAAGACATTAAATTCACAGCCAGTCAAGCACTAAGAGAAAATTGGCATAAGATTTTTTCCATGGCACCTTACTCCAAAAGAGATAGCAAAAATGGATAACAATTATACTGGAAAGTGTTGGAAAAGACAAATATGGATATGGATGTGTTGTAAGCCACCCCGAGGCTTCGGCAAGGGGCGGCATAGAAATGTAATAATAATAATAATAATAATAATAATAATAATAATAATAATATTTGGTGGACTTGTGATAAAATTGAAAGATTTAGGAAGTGATACATGAGGAAATGCAAAAAACCCTTTAAAATCAACTTTCTTATGAGTCCATAGAATATGCTGCAGAACATAATGCCAGAAACTTGTCAGGGACGAGTGCAGAAAGAAATGAAATTGCTTCTAAATGGGAAACAGCAGGATGTCCAGCAATTAAAGACTGGAAAAACAAGTTGGCTGAGCACGCAGTGATGGCAAAACTAACTAATTATGTAAATTATTCAATGATAAATAGGAATTCTATTATACACAGTTTAATTAATATAGAACAAAAGGAAGCTCATTAAAATACTGCTCATAATTTACAATTGATTTAAAGTGATTGGAAAATTTGTCAGTTAAGAGAACTACAATTATCTTTTTTGAGAGTTTCAACAAAGTACTAATTGACAGAAAAATAGAAATGTTTTATTTATTTGGGAATTTGCAGGTTATGTATGTATATGTTATATTTGTGTAAGCTCCCTTGGGATTCTTATTTTTCTTTTACATTTTCTTTCCTTTCTGTACTTTATTTCTTTTAAGAAAACAATTTTTTTAAAAAAATTAAAAACTGGCCTACCTTCCAGGGTTGTTGTGAGACTAAAAGAGAGAGGAGAAGGTGCATGTAAACTGCCTTGATTTTGTGCAGGAGAAAAAGAAGGGATAAACATGTAAAAATAATTTTTAAAATATTCACGTCATACTATTTGGAGGAAGATGCAGAAGATAACTTCTTCATTTTCCCCACCACTAATATCTCATCATCATGTTCTCTTTATACATTGTTTTTGCTTCTTTATAACATGACGGGGCCTTCCAACAGGCAGCATCATGTGATTCTGCTTTTTGTGTTGCCCAGTTTTGAATGATATAAGGGCAACAGGCATAAGAACACCCGGGAGACGGAACACGCGAAGCTCCCTATGGCAAAGCGTGGATCCATGAGCCCGGGGCTTCAGGCAGGGATTGTTCCTTATCCTACCTAAGGAATGGACTTTGGAGCAAGCTTTGGTCCTTCCCACCAAAGGCCTTGGCCTCTGCTAGAATCGTGTAGCAACAGCAGCTCACCTGGATGAAAAGCTGGTGGTCCCCGATCATGATCACCTGCCGAAAGAGCTGCACTTACCACAAGGAAAAGGAGGTAGGTGAAGAAGAAGGCCGACAGCATCAGGATGAGAGTCGTCCACCGGAACCAGAAGCCGAGCGCTTCATAAGCGTACCTGAGGATGGAACGCAGCTCAGTCAGGGGGGCGAACCGGACCGAGGAGTGTGCCTGGCACGGCGACCCACCGTGCAGAGAAGCTGCACAGCGTGGGTCGCTGGTGAAACAGCCCACTGTGAGCTGCACAGAGGATCGAGCACACGGTGCGTGGCTCCCTCCTTTCCCACTCAGTCCTCCCCTGGCTAATTTGGGGCCACTCTGCAGCAGATCTTGCCACCGGTCCACAAGCGCTCATGCGGCTTCCCTCCCTCTTCCACAGACAAGCATCAGCAAATTGCAGCCCTGTTCAGTGGGAGGCCGAGAATGTCAGGCTGCCATCGCAAACTGCAGATAAGGACCCGTGATGCTGAGCGAGTCTTCCCAGAAGCCAGACCCTGTCCGTGGCATGGTAGCACATGTCATGCAAACACCACAGCATGAAAACAGAATCTTCGTCTCTTATATGAGAGCCAGTGTGGTGTCGTGGTTGAGAGCACGGGACTGGGATGCTCAGAGGATCTGGGTTCGAGTCCCCGCTCGGCCATGGAGCCAACTGGGTGACTTTGGGCCAGTCACAGTCTCTCAGCCCAACCTTCGCCCGAAGACCGCGCGAAGACTGCGCCGCGCCGCCGACTCCGCCACTACCTGACTGCCCTGCCACGCCCCTGCACACGTGGCAGGTGTGCCCGGACGGGGTGGGGCGTCGGGTCCTTCGAGACCAGGGCTGGAGTGTCTCTACTTGGTGTTGGGCGACCGAGACAGATTGGGGATTCTGTTGGTGTACCGTGCACCCTTCTGCCCAACAGTCTCCCTGCCTGAGCTGACGGAAACGGTCTCGGACCTGGTGTTGAGGACCCCCAGGATGCTGGTCCTGGGGGACTTCAATATCCATGCCGAGGCTAGTTTGACCGGGGCGGCTCAGGACTTCATGGCTTCCATGACGGCCATGGGGCTGTCTCAACATGTCACCGGCCCGACCCATGAACGTGGACACACTCTGGACCTGGTTTTCTCGACGGGGCAGGAAGAGGGTGGTCTGAGGGTGAGGAATTTATGCTTGACTCCCCTGTCATGGTCAGATCACTTCCTAGTGAGGTTTGTGCTCGAGAGCGACATCTCCCTCTGTAAGGGTGCAGACCCGATTGTGTGGGTCCGCCCCCGGAGCCGGATGGATCCGGAAGGATTCCTGAAGGCTCTGGGGGAGTTTCCGGCTGACAAGACGGGTGCTCCTGTCGAGGCTCTGGTTGAACTGTGGAACGGGGAGATGACCAGGGCTGTAGACACGATCGCTCCTAAGCGTCCTCTCCCACCGGGCAGAGCCCGCTCTTCCCCTTGGTACACTCCAGAATTGAGGGCAATGAAGCAGGTTGGGAGACGGCTAGAGCGTAGGTGGAGGAAATCACGTGATGAATCTGACCGAACACACTTAAGAGCCCACTATCGGGCCTATGCTGTGGCGGTGAGGGCGGCGAAAAAGAGACACTTCTCCGCTTCCATTGCCTCCTCACAATGCCATCCGGCGGAGCTCTTTCGAGTGGTGCAAGGCCTGGTTCACCCAGGGCCAAAGGAAGAGCTGATTCCACCCTCAAAGGCCCGCTGTGACGACTTTGCTGAGCATTTTAGGGAGAAAATCGCTCAGATTCGTCACGAGCTGGATTCCACTATTGATTCAGAGGTTTTAAGGGAGACACCAACGCTGCCGTCTGGTCCAGAATTATTGGATGAATTTCAGTTACTGCGGCCCGATGATGTGGACAAGGTGCTTGGACGAGTACGTCCTACCACTTGCCTTCTGGACCCTTGCCCGTCTTGGTTAATAAAGGATTCCAAGCACGGGATTGGAACCTGGATCTTGGAAGTGGTTAACGCTTCTCTGAGGGAGGGTCGGGTGCCTGCCCCTTTAAAGGAGGCGGTAGTCCGACCGGTCCTGAAGAAGGCGTCACTGGATCCAGGGATGGCCGCTAACTATAGACCAGTGGCCAACATCCCGTTTCTGGGCAAGGTGTTAGAGCGAGTGGTGGCGGGACAACTCCAAGCACTCTTGGATGAAACTGATTATCTGGACCCATTTCAGTCCGGCTTCAGACCCGGGTACGGTACTGAATCTGCCTTGGTCGCCCTGTACGATGACCTGTGCAGGGAGAAGGACAGGGGGAGTGCGTCCCTGTTGGTTCTCCTGGACCTCTCAGCAGCTTTCGATACCATCGACCATGGTATCCTTCTGGATAGGCTGGCGGGATTGGGGGTCGGAGGCACCGCTTTGCGGTGGTTCCGCTCCTATCTCAACGACCGATTCCAGAAGGTGGTGTTGGGGGACTATGGCTCTGCGCCATGGCAGCTTTGCCATGGGGTACCGCAGGGTTCCATTTTGTCCCCTTTACTGTTCAATATCTACATGAAACCGCTGGGAGAGGTCATCAGGAGGTGTGGGCTGCGGACCCATCAGTATGCTGATGATACCCAGCTCTACCTCTCGTTTTCCACCAATCCAGGTGAGACAGTGGCTGTACTGAACCGGTGCCTGGCCGAGGTAATGGGCTGGATGAGGGCCAATAAACTGAAGCTCAATCCAGACAAGACGGAGGTCCTGTTGGTTGGCGGTTCGGGCTTCGGAGAAGGTGACCTGAACCTTGTCCTGAATGGGGTTGCACTCCCTCCTAGGGACAAGGTCCGCAGCTTGGGAGTGCTCCTCGACCCGGAGCTTTCACTTGAAGCTCAGGTGACAACAGCGGCGAGGAGCGCTTTCCTCCAGCTTCGGCTGATTCATCAGCTGCGCCCCTACCTGGAGTACGACTGCCTTGCAACAGTGACTCATGCGCTGGTGACTTCCCGTCTTGACTTCTGTAACGCGCTCTACGTGGGGCTACCCTTGAAGACGGTCCGGATACTTCAATTGGTTCAGAATAGAGCTGCCAGGCTGCTGACGGGGACTGGACGTTATGTTCACATGACGCCAGTTCTCCGTCAGCTTCACTGGCTCCCCATTGAAGTCCGGGCCCAAGTCAAAGTGTTGGTAATGACCTATAAAGCCCTAAACGGCTTGGGTCCTGGTTACCTGAAGGAGCGCTTACATCCATATTTGCCCAGTCGCCCCCTGAGATCGGCGGGAGAGGCCCTTCTCCGGGAGCCCTCCGTGAGAGAAATTAGGAGGGTGGTTACTCGGAGAAGGGCTTTCTCAGCGGTGGCGCCTAAGTTATGGAATGCGCTCCCCAGAGAGGTCCGCCTGGCGCCGTCGTTATTTGTTTTTCGGCGCCAGGCTAAGACCTTTTTATTTAAGCAACATTTTAAATGCTAAATACAATTGAATTTTATCTGGCCAGGGCGGCTTATTTTATAATGTGAGTTTTAATTAAGATTATTTTATATGGATTTTAACTTGTTTTATCTATGTTGTAAGCCGCCCCGAGGCTTCGGCGAATGGGGCGGCATAAAAATGTTTTAATAAAAAAAAAAAAACCTGCCTCACAGGGTTGTTGTTGTGGGGATAAGATGGAGGAGGAGAAGGATGTAAGCTGCCTTGAACCCTTTGTAGGAAAAAGGCAGGATATAAATCGAAATCGAAAATAATAAATAAATAACCAGTGCTTTTTTTGTCATAGAACGCACCGGAACGGAGTTCTGGCACCTTTTTTCAACAGCTTTTCTAAGTTTTAAAAGTAACTTTTGAAAATTTGATGTTTGGTCCACGTGGATTTGAATCACCCTGTTGAGCATACCAGGTCGGCAGCAAAATCATTAAAACGGTGCGTGCGGGCTGCTTGTGTGTCGAGTCCGATGCGTGCGCACTTGGTCCGCGCTGGTTGTGATGGCGCTGCTCAGCTTGTGATTGGTTGTATGGTTGCGCGCTGAGTGCTTACTGCGGGCGGCGACCGTTACGTTTCGTTACACAACTGGCGTGTGTGGGTGTGTGTACAGTGACTGACTACATGTGAAAGGTAGATAATTTCATGAGTTCCGGCACCGTTTTTCTTACAAAAAAAGCACTGCTTCTAACACCAGACTCAAGTCTTGGGTGCCAACGGGGCTCGAAGCAAAATTGGAGCCACTCAGAAACAAGAGGGAGGAATCTGCGTGCTTGTAGAAGTACACAGAAAACCGTAAAGAGGCACCCTTCACACACACACCCCACAACCATGGTTGCATGGTGGTGGCTCACACACTGCTTTCCATGCTCTGCAAGTGGCCGGTGAACTCCTCCAGAGAAGTTTGGAAAGGCCTCTGGTCAACCAAGTTGCATTCTTCAAACTGGAAAGCATTTTGGGTTTCTTCCCAGCAGTGCTTCAGCCACTTAATTTTCGGCCCTGGCTTTAATGGCAGGTGGGAGCTTTAGAAGCCTGCGCACATTTTTCCACAGGTAAGATTTCTTTTTTCTTCCAGTGCCATTCAGCACTGAGCAAGCTTGCTCTCTCAACTCTCCTTAAACAAAGCACCTTCATCACTGCAGTTTGCTTCTGATGCTAAACACATTTCTGCCCGAAGCAGCAGCAAATATTTGCAGAATACGGTATCTATTCTTAAGGAGCGCAACCCCAGCCAGAATAGTTTTATGCTGCTCATTGCTGCTGACCGCACCAGATTTTATCTTTTGTGTTTTATTTAATTTTGCCTAAATGAATTAAGATTATTTCAAATAGTTGAACTGATTGATTATTTAACTGCAACTCTATTTGATTACTGATTTAGTTTTTACTGGAGTTCTTTTTTACAGTATTTACTGTTAAAAGGTATTGAGCATATTAGAAACATAGAAAACAGAACAAGTCAGAAGGGGTCTCCCGGGCCATCTAGTCTGACCTCCGGCACCAGCCGGCTCAGCTCAGGACATGCCCACCATGTGTACGTCCAGTCTATCCTTGAACACCCGCACTGATGGGGCCTCAAGGACCTCTCGTGGAAGCCCATTCCACACCCTCGGGGTCCTGACTGTCAGGAAGTGCTTCCTGGCATCCAAATGGAACTTGGCTCCCTGAGCTTTGCTCCGTTGGAGCGCGTCCTGCCTTCCTCTGCAGGGGAGAACAGGTTATTATTTATTATGTATCATTTTAAATGTTGCCTAAATATGTCTCAGCCACCTGGAGAGCCTTATAGCTAATGTGGTGGCATATAAATATACATACATACATATCATGTCCAAGATTAGCCAGCCTGGCTGTACCACTCATTTCTCAGGAGGATGGTTTTGAAATTGCCCATCACAAGCTTCCACTGGCCTGTCCTGAACGTCAGAAAAATCACTGTGTACTTTATTTAGTTATTTAATTTATTTATCAAAGACTTTTTTATACTGTCTACTACCAAGGTCCCAGGACTACTTGGCTAAATGAGCCTTCCAAAGGGAGGGCTGCAAGGGTAAAAATTGGCAGTTCCTGGTGTATGTATGTAAGAACTTAGCATGGGTGGGTGGCCATTTTCCACCTGAGGACTGTGCACCTTGGTGGGCAGTGGGTTGGGAATACAGGCTGGCAGGGGGCATGGCCAGAGCTATTCATGCATGTGTTAAAGCCACAACCTGTTCTCCCCTACAGAGGAAGGCAGGATGTGCTCCAACGGAGCGAAGCTCAGGGAGCCAAGGTTCCATTTGGATGCCAGGAAGCACTTCCTGACAGTCAGGACCCCGAGGGTGTGGAATGGGCTTCCACGAGAGGTCCTTGAGGCGCCATCGGTGAGGGTGTTCGAGGACAGGCTGGACATGCACATGGTGGGCATGTCGTGAGCGGAGCCGGCTGGAGCCGGGGGTCAGACTAGATGGCCCGGGAGACCCCTTCTGACTCGCTCTGTCTCTATGTTTCTATGTACTCTGCACTTCCCTTCTCAAGTCTGTTCCTCCTGAGGGAGAAATCAAAGCTGGCGGGGGCAAAACACACAGCGATGGGTCCCCAAAGGAAACACGTTCTGCCGTGGAGGTGCTGGGGCACTCGTGGACGAAGGTTGTGTGAAGGGCCTGTTTGAGGACGGGAAGCCAGCAGGTTCCCTGGGAGTGGCTTGCTGAACGGCAGCCCACTCCTAAGAGACTGCTAGGCCAAGCGCGGCGAGCTCGGCTGGCGTTTGCACGGGGCCTGTCCGGAACGGAGCCCTGAGAACACGGCAGCCCCTCTTCCACACCCCACGCAACAGCCTTTGCGTGTACGCCACACGCGGCAGGGAAGAAGGCTGCCCCTGGTGCAACCGGACTTCCATGAGCATGCACGGACTTCCTCTTGGCTTGCTTTCTGAGACAGGGTCAAGCACCAAAGGAAGTCTGCCCAGGGTGGAGGGACAGATTCCAAGTAGCGTTGAGGCACTGCGTGGCCTGCCTCCCCCTGCTGCATTTTGGCCGGTTCACAGAGCAGACCCAGCCCTCCCGTCGGGCAGGGTGCAGTCGCCACCTCGGGCAGCAGCCGCCGGGAGGCAGCTGCGAGCCGGCAGAAGCGGAGCCAGAGGCTCCCGTGCATTGATGCCAAGGCTCTCTCCCACGTTTGGACTATTGCAATGCACTCTGCATGGGGCGGCCCTTGAAGATGGTCCAGATACTTCAGTTGGTCCAGGATAGAGTGGCCAGGTTCTTAACGGGGACCAGCAGAGACTCTCCTATCACACCAGTCCTATATCACTTACACTGACTGCCAACTGAAGTCCAGGCCCTATTTAAGGTGTTCGTAATAGCCTAGTAAAGGTAAAGGTAAAGGTTTCCCCTTGACGTTAAGTCCAGTCATGCCTGACTCCAGGGGGCGGTGCTCATCTCCGTTTCCTGGCCGAGGGAGCCAGTGCTTGTCCGCAGACGGTCTCCGTGGTCGTGTGGCCGGCGTGACTAAACACCGAGGTGCACGGAACGCTATTACCTGCCCACCAAAGTGGCACCTTTTCATCTACTTGCATTTGCATGCTTTCGAACTGCAAGGTTGGCAGGACCTGGGACAGAGCAACGGGAACTCACCCCATTGTGCAGATTTGAACCGGCGACCTTTCGATCAACCAGCCCAGCAGCACAGCGGTTTAAACCACTGCGCCACCTGCATAGGTAATGGCCTATAAGGCCCTAAAAGGCTTGCATTGTGGATACTTGCCTTCTTCCCTATATGCTCCTTGAGATCAGAGGCAGAGGTCCTTCTCTGGAAACCCTCTTTGAAAGAAATCAGGGTAGCTAGTTGGAGAAGGGCCTTTTCAGCAGTGGCCCCCCGCCCGTGGAACATGCTCCCCAGGGAGGTTTGCCGGGTGCTGTCGTTCTATCCTTTTCAGCATCAGGTGAAGAACTTTTTTATCTTCCCAGTATTTTCACAATAAATTGGTTTTACCCTGTTTTTACTACTATTTTAGATGCATGTGCTGTGTGTCGTCGTTATGGTTTTATTCTTGGTATCCTCTCTTGTAAGCTTCCCAGAGACTTTTTATAGTAACGCATAGCATAGAAAAATCTTAAATAAATAAATGAATCTCCCTTTTCACTTGCCCCTCACGATTTTTACGGGCCTGCTTGGTGACAGCCTGGCAGTGCTGACCCTGGCCGACATGGTGTCCTTCGCCGAGGCACAGCGGGCGCCACGATTCATGCCCCATCCCCGAGCCAGAGTCCTGTCAAGGATAATAATGCGTTCTTTACCTTGCACTCCTTTCCAGGCTTCGGCACCATGCGGTTTCCAGCCGCCATCTTGGGTTTGCCTGCAGTGACCCAGAAGTGAACCATTCCGGAAGAATGTGGGGACGAAAGATGGCTGTGGCCACCGTGGGGTTCAGAGGTGGCTGGGCTGATGCTCTCCCATTCCCCACCTCTGCCAGGCTCCGGAATGACTCGACTTCAGGGGCGCTGGAAGCCACGTCCCAAGATGGGGAATGAGGCTGCTTGGGGTCAGAGCGCTGAGGCCGGGGCTGGATTTTAGAGGGGAAGAATCCCCAAGAAGCTTCCGGGCTTTATCTGGATGTGCATCCCTGTGGCTCTCCGGCTCATGGGTCCACTGATGCGCACTGAACACAAATCCTGGGATGATCACTCCCATTCGAAGCGCCAGCTCTGTTCTTCGAAAGCTCCCTTTGGAGGATACGCAACGTGGCCACTTACCCATCTAAGTTATGGTAGTCATTCTTTGCTTCCCCCCACATGTACAGAAAGGTGAACCAGGAGCTGAGTGTGAGGACCAGCACCATAAAAAACGTGCATTCCCCCTACAAGCAAAAGTTGGAGGAGACAACGTTAAGCTTCGTCTTCCCGACAGGCCCTGAAAGGTTGCTCAGATTAATCTCAAGAGTCCTGCAACAGAAGGGCCTCATCCCCCTCCGGGACTTGCCCGGGATGCTCAGTCCCTCTCAGCACAGCTCTGGTCTTCCTCCTCCTCCCTCAGGCCCTCGTCACAGAGCCAGCCCATCGCTCAACTCAGCCTGGCGGGGCCCTCTTAGCTGTGGCACCGAGCCTTCAAAATTCCTTTCCCAGGGAAACTTAGACCCTGTATTCCATTTCCTGCAGCAGAGAAGACCCTCTGACCAGATGTTCCACACCCAGTAAGCAAAGGTCCCCTGCCCAGGTACTGCCCCCAAACTCTACCAGCCTACCCCATTATCTTCAGGTGCTGATCAGAGATTACACCGGGATTTTCAACCCCCAAACTTGGGAACAGTTTATTAATTCAAAAACACGTAAGTAAGCCTGTGGAAGCTTGAGAGGAGGAGAAGGGAGAGGAATCCTATGGTTATTTCCGATCAATCATTGGGAAATGGTTATTTCCGATCAATCATTGGGAAATGGTTATTTCCGATCAATCATGGGAAAAGGGGGTGGAGAGTGGCAGCATAATAACATATTTTAACAGAAATGTAGTAGGTGCAATTTGTGGGGGGGGGGGAATCAGCCTTAAATTTAGCAAACCAGGCTTGCTTTCACATGACTTATTAAAATCCACACTGAGTGGGGCTTCTCGGGGTTTGGCTTCATCTGGTCTTGTTCCAGAAGAAAGATCCCCAGACATTTATGGCTACGGAGGCCCCTTAAGGGATGCCCCAGAGAGGAAATGCATTTCTGAACAGAGGACAAAAGAATGTGCTGATTTGCATGCTATTTGCATGTGTTTTGCACATCTAGGCAATGAGACCATTGTTTAAAGAGAAACCAAATATCTCATCATGGTGAAGGAGACTGTGACCAGATTTGGGGACCCAGGTCTGGGTTTGAGGCATTATGCCCCTGCTTCACCACATATCCTTTAAACTTTGCAGACATCCAAGCGCTCAAAGGACTCTAAAAGAAAAGGGGGAAGCCGCTTTTACCATTCTGCAGCAGCACTGCCCTGGCTCAATTGTTTTCTGCTCGTAATCCTTCCACCGGCAGCTGTAGAATCCTACCAGGCAAGCAATGAACGTACTGTGCCCACAGCGATGGCATAAATATTGCGGAGGTTTTCTCCACTTCCGAAATCGGACTTTCTTGATAGAGACAGGGCCATCAACCATTTCCGGGGCTTCCATCTTATCTTCCTCCTGAAAGCAGACAATTTTAGATGTCCAAGATACTGACTAAAGAATTTCAAGGTTCTTTTTTAAAAAGTCAAGTTTCTAGCCCTTACTGTTTTGCATGCATCTTTGTTTTGGTTTGTTTGCAGAGGGATTTTGTTCAGCTTTTATAGAAAACTTCCAGAATAGTTTTCCTAAAAATCTAAAGCAACGGTCAACAAGAAAAGGGGGGAGGGGGAGCAGCAAAAGCAAATAGTTTAGACCAGTGCTTTTTTTTGTCATAGAACGGAGTTCTGGCACCTTTTTTCGACAGATTTTCCAAGTTTCAAAAGTAACTTTTGAAAATCTGATGTTTGGTCCACATGGATTCGAATCGCCCTGTCGAGCGCAGCAGGTCAGCGGCAAAATCATTAAAACGGTGCGTGTGGGCTGCTTGAATGTCGAGTCCGATGCATGCGCATTTCGTCCGCGCTGGTTGTGATGGCGCTGCTCGGCTTGCGATTGGTCGTGTGGTCGCGCGCTGAGTGCTTACTGCGGGCAGCGACCGTTATGTTTCGTTACACAACGGACGGGTGTGGGTGTGTGTACAGTGATTGACTACGTGCGAAAGGTGAATAATTTCATGAGTTCCGGCACCCTTTTTCTTACAAAAAAAGCACTGGTTTAGACTATAAAGATATCCTATTGAGCAAAGCCTGCTAAAATGTCCCAACACAGAGTGGTAGATGGAGGTCAACATTGCTATGCAACAGATCCATGATCTGGTTGTTTGGATGGGTTTTTTAAACTGAACTGCAGCTAAAATTGTGTTATGAGTTTGATCTGAGCAACAGTTCTGGGAGGGCAGGTGCCTCTGCAATGCCAGGGTGCGACTCTAAATCACTTCTCACGCTGAGGTGGCTTGAAAACAGGTACAAATTCACATCCCACCACCTCCCATGGCTGCTTTTAAGTAAAAATGAAAGTAGAATACATTTCCTCAAGCGCATCTCCAATGTGATATGAAGTTTACCCTTGGAAAGCAGCAACCCACAAACTTCTATTCTCAAGTATCTAGTCCTGTGGAGTAGATGATCATTGTTATCACCCCAAAAAGATGTTGGTGCACAGTAAATGGGCCATTCTGTGACTAGATGTCCGGTTGCGTTAACTAAGCCAGCCTTGTTTCTTCTTGCTGTTTCTCCAAGTTGGCCATCCGTCTAGGGTAGTCTAACTTCGAGGCCATTATTTACCCTCCAATAGTCCTTGGCTAGATTACAAAGTCTGCAAAGTACGGGCAGAAGCCGGGAGTTACCTCTGCCACCTGCCTGCCACTGGCTAGCGCATGGGTCCTCAACCTACAGCCCGCAGGACAGATCCGCCCCGCCATGGCCACCCCTCTGACCGGTGCCACTGCTGCCTGCCTCCCATACGCGCACGGGAGCGGGGGGGGGGAGGTGGTGGCTTGCTCGATCGGAGCAAGCCACCACCGCCGCGCGTGCCCAATGCTGCCTCGTGCGTGCCTGATGGCACCTCACCGACCCGCACTCTCAGGCACCCCCACCTCACTGGCCCGCGCATGTCGCTGCGGCCTTTCAACTGGCCCCCTGTCGAAAAAGTTCGAGGACCCCTGGGCTGGAGCATAAGTGAGACTGTGTATAAACACCAGAATAAAGGCGAGATCAATACAGGCGCACAATCCCACATAGAAGTTGCTAAGACATTCCCAGGCCGGGGTTCCGTGCAAGCTGAGCTCCAGAAAGCTGCTGCGTATCAGGGCTCTGTCAGAATCCATGCATTGCGCATCCGATGGGGATGTGTCCGAATCTTGCTCTCAGGCTGGAACCAGGACTCCACGCTCGGAACACCCTCCCTCTGGCCTCACAGCTGGCGGAAAGAACAGTGTCAGTTGCGGCTCTGCGCAAACTCAGAGACCGACTTCTGGGGACTTTTTGGGCTCTGCCAACATACGACGCCTTCTGGTGACACCTCTTCCTCCTTGCCACCTGCTGCAAGGTTGAAGACTTAGACGACGGAGAGCAGCCGCCTAAAGTCATGGTCCTGCACCAGTGTAGACAGAAAACAGGCCTACAGCCCCCAGAAACCCATCTTTTGTCTGTCTGTACTTACTGAAGATCACACTAAAGCATTTTGCACGGAGAGAGGAAGATGGAGGCAACTTTTCTTTCCAAGCTGTTCTTGCCATGCACAGGATGCTGATCATCCTCCCAGCTCAAAGGGTCACAGGCAGCTTCCACTCTTGCTCCATAGCTTTGCTCAGAATCAGAATATGGGCAGCTTCACGATCTTGCTGCTCAGTTTCTTGCTATAATCCTTGCCCTGTCGTGTTTTGCTCCTTCCCCCCGTTAGTTCATCCCTGTTATTAGTTGCAAAGTTGTGCCCGACCCATCACAACCCCATGGACAACAGTCCTCCATGCTCTCCAGCATCCCCCAGAGTCCACCCAAGCCCACACCCACCGCCCCAGTGACCCCATCCAGCCACCTCATCCTCTGCCGTCCCCTCCTTCTTTTGCCCTCAATCCTTCCCAGCATCAGGCTCTTCTCCAGGGAGTCCTTCCTTCTCATTAGGTGGCCAAAGTATTTGAGTTTCATCTTCAGCCTCTGGCCTTCTAAAGGGCAGTCAGGGCTGATAGTTCATTCCTGCTTAATAACAATTTTAGCCACTGCTCTATGGTGCATTTGTTATTCTGAATGCTAAAAAAACCCCACAGCCTTTTGGACAGGTCCCCTTCAGATGCCAAGATATGTTTGGGCAGATGTGCAAAAACCGAGAATCCAAACGGATGGCCGAAATAATTTTCTAATGGGGGAGATGTCTTTGCCCGTTCCAGTGCCAACTGTGGTAAGATTTGTGGGGCCGAGCAAAATAAGGGCAAGCCAGCAAATTTGTTTTCTCTTCCACCTGATTCACAAGATCATGCTTCAGCTCCAGCGACACCTGGCAAGCTCGGGCTACGTTCCAGCTCACTGCAAACACATACTTGATCCACATCTCTATGTCCCATCTGGGAAGCAGAGATTCCAGGATCCAGTTTCTTGGAATCCCATCCCGTCCCCTGGGACAGCCGAAAACAAGCCTTTGGCTCTTCTCCTTCAGGTCTCCAAGCCATCCTACCATGTACTCCTTGCAGTCGTCTCTCCTCCAAGGTAAGCGTTTTCGAATCCCTCATCAGATCTATTCCCCATACTTCAGACCAGCATGTTGCCCTCCCCTGACCCCATTCCAGTTTGCTGACACCCTTCCTATAATTTAGGCACCAAAACTGGACGCTCCATTCAAGGGCAGGGCTGACTACCATCCTAAGACAATGGAGCCAATATTTATCAAGGCTAAGCCCACCTCACCCTGCCAGAAGGACCAAAGGCCTATTATTATTTGAATCTATTATTATTCGAATCTCTTCCTCAACTGCTTCCTGGGCTGGATTTGGAGTAACAGCCTTCTTCTATAATAATATGAAATACAACTTTCAGAAATACCTAACATAGTCTGCCTCCCTCTTATGGAGAAAGCACAATTTCCCCCCAAATTTAACCCATTTAAAGCACCATAAAAATGCCAGATCGGCTGACTGTACCTTGAGAAGCTGGTTCCATTCCTTGTCCAAACCCAGCTTTCCTTGACTCTACTTAGCCCAACGCCTCAGTCTCTCTTCCTGCCCAGCGCTCAGCGTCTCAGCATGCACCCAACTGCCACAGAACCTTCTACTGCCATCCTTCCATCTGTGGAACAAACATGTCCGTTTTCAAAAATCCCAAAGCAATTTCTTTGCCCTACCGCCAGTTCACTCACAGCGTGAAAAGCTGATGGCTTTCGCCTTGCAGCTGATGCTTGGATGGGCCCTTCTAACCTTACCCCGATGTGCTGCACGTGGAGCTGCCCTTGAGCACAGTCCAAAGACGTCAGCTGATCCAAAACAGGGCAGCGAGATACATGAGGATGAGCTTATGAGAACATATTACGCCAGTCCTCTCATCTGCACTGGGTGCCAGCTGAAGTCTGGGCCTGGCTCAAAATACTAATAACATTCAGAGCCCTAACCAAGCTCAGGGCCTGGTTGCCTGAAGGAGTGTCTCCTTCCATATGTGCCTGCCCTCCCCTTAAGATCTGGGACCGATGCTCTCCTCTGGGTGCCCTCCCTGAAGGAGATTGGGAGGGCGACTACCCAGAGCAGGGCCTTCTCTGCAGTGGCACCCCGATTCTGGAATACGCTCCCCAGAGAGGTTTGTCTGGCGCCGTCACTTTCATCTTTTCGGTGCCAGGCTAAAACCTTTTTATTTTCCCAATGTTTTAAGACCTGACTGTTTTAATTGGGTTTTTATTATTAGCTGAATTTTAGGACTCTGTGTTTTGAATTTTGTACATTTTGTATTGTTAAACAGTCCCGAGACTTCAGTCGTGGGATGAACAGTTTTAAATAAATAAGCGGCTTGGGGGGCCAGGTTATCTGAGGGAACCTGTTGTCCTACACGTTCCTGCCCAGACCCCAAGGTCATCTCTGGGGGGTCCTTCTCTGGGAGCCCCTTCCAAAGGAAGCAAGGATGGTTGCTACCTGAGGGGCCTTTTTGGTTGATACCCTCTGAATACCAGGTTATATTCAGAAAGGACCAAGGACCTGGTGTAGCTGAACTACAGGCCCCATTCAATCATCCCTCAGCCAAATGGTGCGCTGGATGTGCTGATGGGAGTTGTAGTCTAACACATCGGGTCAGCACCAGGTCAGTGAAAGATGATGCAGGCCGTGCCGTTTGGTGATGAAGCCCAGTTCTCTCGGATGTGCCAGGCATGTGCTGGGAACTCCGTTGTCCTCATGCTCTGCCCCCAGGGTAAAATCCTGCCCGAGGCCCGACAGCGGCGACACAAAGAGAAAACAGCGCAGAAGTCCCAGTTCGTGAGCTAAAGATTTTCAGTGGTGATGAGCAGAACGATGGGAATACAATTCTAGAGGTAAATCATGCAATCACGGGCAACAGGTAGACATTGCAGGCTAGAGGAAG